TAAATTTGTTAATTCTTAAAAAAATTCCTCAAGACCGAACTGGATGAAAAGACAGACTTGTAAATATGACCGGTTATTCTCAAGGATCAAACAGTGTAAGAACCTGCACTGCTAGGCCAACAGGGAATACAGGTTAATTCAAGATGGTGCTTTTAGAAGCAGCATGCTTTACGCTGTACTGCTGTCCTCCACGTCGAGAGCACCCACCTGCCCAGGTAGCACTGCCAGAGCGGTTTGTTCTGAGAAGCCAGCTCGGAGTCCTTGGCCCCGAACATCTTTGCCAGCAACCTCACCACCTGCAGGCGTTCCTCGTTATCATTGCTCTGAAACAAAGCACAGGCACAGCTTTCAAAGTCAGAGCCACAGCATCGGGGACACCACCTTCCAGGGGTCCCCCCTCATCCTCAGATGCCTCAGCAAACTCCTGTGCATCTGCTCCTGAGACAAGTTCTTCCCAACGGCTCAATCTACTCTTCACAGCATTAAACGCTCCCTGATCGTTTCAAAGCTCCTCGAGCCTGAACTTGTGCATGCAAACAGCGCAGTTTGATGAAATGCGGGCAGGCCTCCTAAGAGAGAAACTCAAGTCCTCCAAGCCGCTCTCAGAGCATGCTATCTATTCAGAGCACGCTGACAGGGCAGCATTCACAGCCTTCAGAAGGTCCAGAGCAGGAACAAAGAACAACGCAGGCCATGATGAATGACACAGGTGAATCCTCCGAACAGAAAGAGAAAGGCAAGGAGAAAGATGAGCAGAAGCCAAAAGGAACCCAAAGTACATTTAATGGGGTCAGAAGTCCTGCTGGTGTCCCAGGTAAGCACTCAGCTATGCACTGCAAGGCTTGGCAGTGCAAAACATACCACACAGATGGGGGAGGGGGCATGCACACCACACAGCGTAGTGCAGCGAGCACACACAGCACAGAGCAGGGAGCACACACAGCACAGAGCAGGGAGCACACAGCACAGAGCAGGGAGCACACACACAGCACACAGCACAGAGCAGGGAGCACACACACCACACAGCACAGAGCAGGGAGCACACACACAGCACGCAGCACAGAGCAGGGAGCACGCACACCATCTGACTAAACCTCAAGGGCGTGCATCTCAGGTCAGGACAATACAAGACCACACACAGACAAGAATGTTTGTACAGTCCAACCCTAAAGACAAGACACACTGTCAACAAGTAACAGAATTCAGAAATCAACCGTAACTGTTAGAGGGTCAGGGTTAGTGTGCTAAGGTACTCCAGGCAGAGTGGGCAATCACTAATTCAGCAATTCCTATATGAGTAGAGTGCACTTGAGGCAGTGGGTTTGGGGTTTGGCCTCGCAGGAGGCTCCTGTGGCCTGCAGACCTGCACTGTGAACACCGAAAACAAGGCAGGCAGTTGCACCAGCTGTCCCACCGGGTAAAGATGAGCACACTCCTCCCAGACTCTACCGCCTCTGAAGACCAGCGGGGAGGTGAGCTACAAGTCAGTTCCTGTCTGACAGCACACACGACAACAGGTACCATACAGGAGCCCTGGTGGCACAGGGAACTAAGGGTTCAGCTGCTAACTATATAGTTCGAAGTTCAAACCCAGCAGCCACTCTGAAAGCCTTGAGAGCATCAGTTTTTAAATATTTAAAGACTTTCACCTCAGAGACACGATGAGGCAGGTCTGCTGTCTGCAGGACTGCTAGACGTTAGGCAGAGGGGGCGTTCTGTTCCGGTGAAAACCATACACAAGCAGATACTGCACAGAGGGGAGACTCAAGGGCAGGAACCCCCTGATCTCTCAGAACCGAACCGTCACAGATCCATTCTTTAAGCTGGCTGACAGAATCCTATCATGTTTCGGACACTTACCTTTAACTTGAACTCCAACTGGGGTAAAACAGACAGCAGCAAGTGACTGTCAATATTGTAGAGCTCCAGGATCAAGTCGAAGACATGCTCCGACAGGTCACTGATGGACGTCTTCCCCAGCATCAGCACCTGGTTGAAAAACTTGAAAGAAAAAAACCAAAACACTCACCATTAACAGAATACCATCAATGAAAAGAAAGGGATTTCTCAAGTTGTCCTCATCATCTGGGACACCTGACTACGATTTTCACAAAGCAGCATCTGGCACGTCTTCGTCCAGGCCCCGTTTCCTAACATAGGCTAGAAAGCCACGGGAGGTGCCACCAAGATACAGCAGCACCCAGTCTTCTAAACACCAGATGGACTCGGCATCTCTGGAGTGCACAGTTCACCATCGATGAGGCCCCTCTGGCCCGTGGTTCCCACTGTCATGCTCACCACGTTCTACCCCCTTTGACAATTATCTGTGTGTGCGGCAAATGCCCTGCAGGCAGATCCCTGAAAGCTTGTTCACATCTGTGTTGCACAGCAAACCAAAGCCTTACATACTCCTGAAAAGCAAAGCCCGGCCCAGGTCTGAATGGAGCCCATGCCCACGCAAGGCGCCCCCCACACTGTGCTGGGGAGGCCGCAAATCTTCACAGGAATACACTGCCTCCTCTTTCTCACTCAGGAGTCCTTGTGGATTCGAACTGCCCATCATTTAGCTATTGGACCAACACATTATACACTGTCTCCATCATACATTTATGTTGTTGTTGTTGCGTGCCATGTAGTCAGAAGAGACTATCAACTGCACAGAAGGAGACTGCCCATCTTTCTCCTGCAGAGGAGCTAGTGGATCCGAATCGTGAACCTTTGGGATAGCAGGGCAACTTCTTACCACCATGCCGTCAAGCCCCATTCATAGGAGGAATCAATTCCAGTATTAAAATATGTGACTCTACTGTTTTTAAATGGAAATAAAAAACTCTCCCCTGTCCCACTGATCACTTTATGATCTGATACTTGAACTGCAAAAGATCAAGGAAGGAAGCCTACAATATGGATTACATCTTAACGTGAAAAAACACAAAGGTTTTTATCACTGGACCAAAAGGCAACATCATGTTAGATGAAGAAGAGATTGAACTGTCAACTGCTTCATCTTGCATGGATCCACAATTAACACCCTTGGTACCAGCAGCCAAGAAATGAGAAACATTGCACTGGGAAAATCTTCAGTTAGGGACCTCTCGAAATTGTTGGGGAATAATCATGCCAGTTTGAGGACTAATGTGCGAGTCTAAGAGTCTTCCGATCACTTGCTGTGCATCTGAGAGCTGGACAATGAATAAGGATGATGGAAGAAGTGACGCCTTTGAGCTGTGGTGTTGGAGAAGAACACTGAACATCCTAAGGACGGCCACTAGAATGAACATTTCTGTCTTGGAGAGGGTGCAGCCAAAGTGCTCTTTGGAGGCAAAGATGATGAGGCTTCACCTCACATACTTTGGCCATGTTGCTAGGAGGGGCTATTCCTTTGAGAAGGACCTGATGATTGGAGAGGAAGAAGGTAAGCCCAGGAGAGGAAGACCCTCGACCAGGTGGGCTGATGAAGTGACTGCCGCAATGGGCTCTTGTGTGTTATGAAGTGTGAGGCTGGTACGCGACAGAAGAGATTTCCATCTTTTGGTCATAGGGTCGCTAAGGGTAGTACTCGAAGGCACTGAGCAACAACTCAGTGCATGCACACATATAAAGTCTACAACAGGAATTAGATCTCTGAGGGAGAGCCAAATGGATAGTGTGTTTCTTCTTTCTGCTTGTTAAGGCAGTTAACTGGCACGATTTTGTCACATTGCTACAGAAACTAACCAAGACATACAGAAGAACAGTCACGTTCTTTATCTTTAAAAATCTTGCAAATATTTTCAAAATTGATGCGGACATTCTAAATTGAGGATTGTAATCACTGTTACCAAAGAGAATGTGTGTGAACTATGGGATAGAAGACCAACTTCCTTGTTAAACTTTTACTCAAATCACAAGAAAAGTGTTTTTAAAAAAGGCAAAACCCAATAAACCCCATGAGGATAGAACTCACGCCCCAAAAGCCCCCAGTATTACACCGTGCCTCACAGAGGGAGCAGGTGTGCTCAGGGAGTCAAAACCGGCCCAGTCCATCAGCCGGCTGCAGAGGAATTTACTTGAAAACCTCAAAAGTCATTTCCAAGTTCAGTGCCTTAAGAATTCATATTTCCGACATACTCCCACAAGACAAGTGACAGGCACAGAGCAGGCATGGAGACACGTCTGGTCAAGGAGAAAAAGCCAGGTGACAGCACAAGAATAGACATTTACATATAATAACACCTGCCTCCCTCCAGGAAAGTGAAGACAGTCAATGTGGAGTGGATTAAATAAAACCGATTCTTCAAAAAACTGTCTTCCAAGAAAATATTAATCTTTCAATTGCAAACAGGTAACAACAGTTCTCACACCACAAATTAAGGCACTTAGTGCCAACTGTTTCCCAGTGACAGGTAAGATAAGTCCAGGGCACTGTTGCATTCAAGGTCGCATTTCCAGTCAGTTTTTCCTCGTTGACTAACCAATCTCTCCTACTACCATCCCGAGCATTATGGAAACTCCAACTTACAGAGGAAACCCAAAGCTCAGAGACATTAAGCAATATAACAAATCTTTAAAAAGAATTCATGGACTTTTTTAATGCCCTATCATAACAAATTGTGTGCAGTGAGCAGTGCTGCACGTGTAAGGACTGTAACCAGGGTCCTAGAGCAAAACATGTGTGGGCTCCGTGGGAACCAATCTGCTCTGTGCACTCTCCCCAAACCTCAGGGCGGGTCAGTGACAGTGACCCTAATTGCACGGTCTCCTAAAACGTGAGATAAAAGTGTGAACAACAATAATAACACTACCAAGATGTGTTTCATGTGAGATGGATTTTTCATTGTCAACTGGTTGGGTTTTTTTTGTTGCTTTTATAACTTTTTTAAAAAAGAATTTTTTTTTAAAAATGGGGGGTATCTTTCAGTTTCCTGAGTCACAAAGTTAACAAAAAATTCTATTTTTTTTCCTTTTTTAAATTGAGATTTTTAATGTAAGTTTATAGAGAACATGGATTTCCATTCATTCATTGCTGCACATTTTCCTCCCTGCCCACACCTCCCCCCTTGTTCGCTTTTCTCTTTGAAGAAAATTTTTTTTTCTCCATTGCTATACAATCCACCCTCCCAAGTCTGCTTTACTGCGCAGCTCTTACTCTGGACTACTGTTACGCAAATAATACCTAATGATATATTCCTTTTAAGCAGTTCTTTCCCTCACCAGTTTCCATGCAGTATACATTATTTATCCCTGATTTTCTTAGTTCCACCTCAACCCTGATGTCACTCCCATTCTACAACAGTGGAATTATGCAGTATTTGTCCTTTTGTGGCTGAGATATTTCACTAAGCATAATGACCTCCATGGTGACCCGTTTAGTATAATATTTCATGAGTTCCCTGTTTTTCAATGCTACATAGGATTCCACTGTGTGAGTACACCAAAGCTTCTCTATCCATTCATTTGTTGATGGGCACTTGGGTTGTTTCCATCTCTTTGCTATTGTGAATAACACATCAATAAACACTGGTGTGCATGTATCTGCTTAAGTGGCAGTTCTGGCCTCTCTAGGGTATATTCCCAGTAGTGGAATTGCTGGGTCAAATGGTATTTCTATTTCCAACTTTTTGAGAAAGCACCATACTGCCTTCCATAGTGGTTGTACCATTTTACACTCCCACAACAGTGAATGAGGGTTCCAGTTTCTCCACAACCTCGCCAGCATTGGCTGTTTGCTGCACTGTTGAATTTTGCTATTCTTACTGGGGTGAAGTGACATCTTTTTTTATTTTTTTCATTTGCATCTCTCTTAGAGCTGAGATTTTTAACATCTCTTCAAGTGTTTGTTGGCCATCTGAATGTCTTCTTTGGTTAAGTGTCTGTTCATATTCTATGCCCATTTTGCGACTGGGTTATTTACCTTTATCTTGTCGTGGTTCATAAATTCTTTTTATAAAAATCTAACATCACAGAGCTTTCTCGTGGAAGATGGGGGAGAGAAGATGCGGCTAAATGATGTGTATGTATCATGTGAAGGATCAACTAGGGAACCATAAAGAACTTGAATGTGTCTGTATGAACTCGCCGTAAGTGGAAAATCACAAGAAGAAAAGGAACCATCTTATCTCACCCCGGTGTTTACTTGGTAATTCCTCATTCAGAAGGAAGACAAATGATGAAGGGCCAGTCACCTCCAAACCAGGAAAAGCCAGCTACTGACGATCTCCAACACTGGATTCTACTCTATGCCACAGACCACGCAGCTCGCCACAGCGTGATTTGATATTTATCGGGGGAGTCTCAGGCAGTCGGGGGGGGGGGCTGGGGGGCGGCCCGGCAGCTATCACTGACTTCCTGGTTAACCACATTACTGTACTGATAATACAACATGAAGTATGCCTGGGCCATTCTGGCAGGTCTGGCCTCCCACTTTCTCCTTACTGTCTGATAAAGACAGAGCAAGTACTGGGGACTCAGGAAAAGGGTCTCATTTCTGCAGGCAAGAACCGACAGCACAAAACTAACATATGGTGATAAGGAAATGTTTTAATCTGATTGTCTGAGACTGCACAAGCCATTTTCTCGGGCCTTCTTAAACTTTATTAAAATAATTTCACATAGATACAAAGTTGAGAACAAAGTACAATGGAGCAGTTCTAAACAAAATTAAAAAAAAAATCATCCTTTTGTCTTGGGACCCTCAACTTTTAAACCAGCCTAATCAAGTACTTAGTCCTCTCAATCTCAAAATTGGCAAGATAAACTTTTCTTCTCTTTATGCTGCAAAAAAGGGTGCCCCTCCCCCAGCCAACCCAGCTGGTAATCAGAATCAATGGGAATAACTGTCCACCAGGCTGCTGACAGCCAGAGTCCCAGGTGGGCCAGGCAGAGGGCAGCTGGCGGCCTCTTCGAGGAACAAGGCCACCCTTGCGAGCTGGCTGGCAGGCTCCTGTCTGGAATACCCAGAAGAGGGGATTAAATGTTTTCTGCTTTCTTTTCATTATTTACTTAAATACTAACTATGAATTTGTGTATATCACAAAACGGTCTCCATTTCGTGGTATATTTTCTCTTACTGGACATTAACATGTATGTGTACTACAAGAAAAGTTCTCCTTCAACTAAGCTCAGAAGTCTAAAACGTTTTCAGGGACTTGTTTCTTGGTATTTTGGTAGGTTTTTTGGTTTCTGTTTTCAGAAAAGTAACAAGAAGGTTTTTCCCTTGACTTTCTTCCTAGTAGATCAACTTGTAACCATTACATGTTTGGAAGCAAGATAAAAGGCAAAGGTAGCAGAAAGCCGATACTGTGCACTATCGCAGGGGCCACCTCCACGTGCTGGATGGGGATCTGAGAGTCACCCCAGAAGACGTGCCCACAGCCACGCCAACTGAGAAGGAATACACAAAGAAAACAGCATCCGCTGCAAATTGTGAACTGTGGCGCTGTAAGCATTTTATCTCGTGATACATACAACACGGCATGCAAAGGGCTCTGTTTACTGGAATTCCTTTTTCAAAAAGGGTTCCTTGCTGTGGGCTCTGTCTATCTGTGGGGTATACCAGGGCACGTAGTGTTCACATCATCCCCTCTGCCGTTCACATTTGTTTTCAAATGCTAGATCGTGGTATTGGTTCATATCTTCTTCTTGTACAAAGCAATTTCATCTCGGAAAAGCTGAAAGCAACTTCTCTGAATAATGAAAAGTTTCACATATTTTATCTAATGACACTGAACTCTAGAACATTAGAAGCAAACAGCACAGGTTTCTAATCAAAACATAAGTTTTACCTTAGTTACTAAGCTTCGATAAGAAGCTAACAGAGGAATGAACAGGACAAGATGAACACATCTTACAGCAGAAAAAGCGTTACTTAATGACTACACCAATACAAGCTTTTAAAGTATATATGACTTGCCGCAATGTTGCTCTAATGGTCTTTAGTGGTTTGGCTTGGTCCTAACATTTGCTGACAGACTTACATTGGTGATGTATGGTTCAATGGCTTGCGCAGTCCTCTTGAGCAGAGCCTTTGCCAAATCATATGCTTGCTTGTTTAAATTCTGGAAAACATGAAACAGTGTCCAGATTACTTATTTCCAAATATTGAAAGCAAAATACCACTTTGTGAGAAAGTTAACTCTTTACAATACAACTGTTTATTGATCTCTTCCATCCAAAGCAAAACAGAGTGAGGAAAATTAAAGATGCGTGGACAAAATGTGTCCAAAGGCTCACTGCACCATGTGAACCTCGATGTCTGTCCACGGTCTAGAGACCAGAACTAGATGGTACCCAGCCACCGCTGTCAAACTCTGTTAAAGGGATCACTCAGAAATCCTGGAGAGTGCTGGAGAGAAAGGTGACTCCAACACGTCATACAAAGACTGCACTTACTAGCAGAAGCAGGTGGACTCCCTGACATTTCGACCCTTAGAGAGTTGGGGAAATCTGCTGTCAGGGATCTCTCCAGAGTACTGAAGAGCAATGATGTCAGTCTGGAGACTAAGGTGCCCCGATCCAGGCCATGGTCTTCGCAATTACTTGCTGTGCATCAGAGAGCTGGACAATGACTAGGGATGACAGAAGAAGAATCAATGCCTTTGAGCTGTGGTGCTGGAAAATACACTGTGGATTGCTAGGAGAACAGGTCTGTCCAGGAGAGGGTGAAACCAGATTGCTTCCTGGAGGCAAGAATTCTGAAGCTTCCTGACATACTTTAGACATGTTATCAGGAAGGATCAGTCCTTGGAGAGGGTCATCACGCTTGGATGGTGTGGGGGGCAGCACAGGAGAGGAAGACCCTGGATGAAATGGATTGACTCAGTGACTGGGTAATGGGCGTAGGTGTGTCAGAGATAATAGTGTTGCTTAAGATAGAGCAGGGTTCAGAGCTCTTGTCCATAGGGTTGCTATGAGTCACAAGCGATTTGACGGCACATAACAACAACAGGACTTCAAGCCTGGAACTTACTCCATGGCTCACCTTCTGACCCAAGTCAGACAAACCCCCAAGGCGCTCACACCAGGATCCTCAGTAGAGCAGCCACACAAAGAGGGAGCAAAGAGAGCAGGCAGGCAGGGACGGAAGAACACAGAAACAGGAAATGCAGAGGGGGTGGAAATGCATAGCAACTGCTCAGTGGAAAACCAATGTGCTCCATCAACCTTTAACCAAATAAAAATAAGTTTAAATAAGTATACAAATAAGTGGCTGATACATGTGTATTGGTAGAAAAGCAATCAAGTTCATTTCCACTCACAGTAAAGAAACAAGCAAAGTCCTGACCTGTCCTGCGCCACCCTGACGCACTGTCAGGCGCTAAGCCCATTACGGCAGTCACAATGGCAACTCAGCTCACCGAGGGTCTTCCGCTCTTTGTGACCCTCTACTTTTCTCAACTTTTTCTAAGAATGGGTCCTTCCCGATAACATGCCCATTTTTACAAACTTTCTATTTATTTGATTTAAATACTGCAAGATGTTGTTAAAAGGAGCCACTAAACTGTGAAGATTAATAATACAGGAGCACATGGAAGCAGGAGTCTGAACAGTACAAGGGGATGCTGCCAAATCAGGAACCTGTTGAATCTGTATCCTGAGAAAATGATTCAAGATCAACTCTAGGAGGAAGAATGTGGCATCCAGAATGGAGGGAAACTCAAGGACCTGTGTTATGCAGATGACACAACTTTGCTTGCACAAAGTAAAGAAGACTTGAACTACTTAATACAGGAGTTTAAAGAACACAGACTTCAGTAATGGATCACAGTTCAACATGAAGGGGGGAAAAATCCATCCAACTAGACCAATAAACAACTTTATGATAAAGGGGGAAAGACTGTAATTGTCAAGGACTTCTTTAGTCCAAAGATCAATGTCCACGGAAGCAATGGCCAAGAAATCAAGAGGCATGTTGATGGAGTTTATCCTTCAATATGACTTCTCTAACCCTTACCTGATGTGTCTATGCAGATGGGCAGGACGATGAGAATGGGGTGTGTTGGCCTATCCACAGGGGATTAGCTACCTACCATTCCACAAGGAGATTGATCAGTATCAACAATCGACAAGGGGATTGGACAGTCTGGCCAATAAATTAAAAAGCTCTAGCTGCAAAGTAAAAAAAAAATCTTTCCCCACCAGATTAGATGGAATTCTTCATAGAAGAGACCTCACCCAACAAGATGAAATGTAGGACACACTTTGGGACGGCAGCAGCAGTGACGGTTAAACTGGAGAACTGATGACATGGGACTTGGGTGGGAGAAACCAAAATTCACAGGACTGAGAACTTTGTTGGACAATTGGGGAGAGAAGCCTATATGGTAGGACCGAGAACTTGGGAACACTTAAGAGCCATATTACTATTAAAAGCTTTCTGTTATAACTACAGAAGGGAGTTTGTAAATCTAAGGGTCCAAGTTAGTCTGCTCAATGTTAGAGGAATTTAAGTTTGCTAGGTCATAATGGTGATGTCTCCTGTGTTAGGACTTGTTAGGAGGATAGCTGTGAGAAATGAGAGAAGAATGAATGATGTCTGGCATGTTTGTTAGAAACATAGAACGCAGTAAAGTTTAGAATGTTAGAATAAGCAAATGTCTGTTGTTGTTGTTGTTGCTGCTGACTGCCTTCAAGTTGAGCACGATTCATAGGGACCCTATGAACAAAAGGCCTGAAGCCCCTCTATAACCATCAACATTTGTCAAAGTTCACAGGGTTTCTGGAGGCATGTTCTTTAGAAAGTGGATGCCAGTCCTGCTTCCAAACCTGTCATAGTGTCAGTATACGGAAAAATATAAAATGAACCTTGTGAAGCTGAGGTTTAGAATGCTAGAAATTGTAAAGCATGTGTGTGACAGTATTTTTAGAAATATAGAATAAAGCCTAGAAAGCTACAGTTTTAGATCGTTTAAGACAGCAAGCAAGCGTGTGTCACAAGAGGAAAGCTAAGAGGAGAAACTGGTCTCTCCCACAGCAGACCAAAGATGCTTCAGGCACCAGGCCCAGAGAATTCATGTCTAAGAACTCTTTAAAAACGGTCTCTTCAGCCTGGAAGCCCAATGTGTTATTCAATGGAACACTCCAAATTTGGCTTTTTGTTATGTGCCGTCAAGTCACCTGCAACTCATAGCGACTCCATGTAAAACAGCCCTAAAACCTGCTCTATTCCTTGCCAACCTTACTGACTCTGACCCTCCCATCCCCATAACCTCAGTGACTGAGTCAATCCATCTCATTGAGGGTCTTCCTCTCTTGCACTGTCCCTCCAGCCTCCTAAGCATCACGTCCCTCTCCAAGGACTGGTCTTTCCTTGCAACATGTACAAAGTGTGTCAGACTAAGCATCAGAATCCTTGCCTCCAAGGAGCAGCCTGGTCTCACCCTCTCCAGAACGAACCTGTTATTTGGCTACACCCTAAGAAATACCTTGCAGGGCAGCATGTGCTCATCCAGAGAACTGACATCTAGGATATTATTTGATACACCTCAAAAATGGACACAGCAGTGGCTTCGAAGGACTTCTGACTGGTAGCACCAGGTCATAAGAAATTGTGACTTGTAGCACAGAAGAGTGGATTTAAACTGGACCCTCCAGCTGCAAAACCAGAGGCACCAGGAAGAACTAAACGTTCTCCAGACGTATTTCCACTCTCTCCAACTGTCCTACGGGATTTAATTACCAACGAACAGGCAGTGGTGGTAATAGAGCTGCTTGTTTGAAAACTAGCTATAAATGATTAGTTGCTAGACATAATTGCTGAATATTAATACTTGATTTATTGTTAAAATTTCAACAGCACTTTAATGCCTTACTTTGGGGATTGATTTTATGTGAAATTATAAATGGGCTTCAGACTTCATGGCCCCCAATCAAGTGTGTGATTTGCAATTATATCTGCCAGTTCTTTCTTTGCATCAGAAGCCCATGTACATTTACTTAAACGAGATCCGAGCAGCTCATAATCCTGTCTACTACATTCTGGCATACAGAGAATCACATCTGCTTTTTCCATTCCCAACTCTGTCTCCACGGTTGGTTTTCCATCAGCAGGCCTGTGTTTCTCTATGAACGATTACCTGTACCGCACGGTTCCTCTTCTTCCCTCTACCCTCTGCGCCTTCCCATCACTAACGTTCTCATTAGCATTCCTGCACAGGTAAGAAAGCAATTCTATTATCCCAACAGTGACTAGTATTTATAAAGCAGGATGGTCCATTTGGTCTAGGGGGACCGTTCTGAGGAGAGCACCACTTATCAAGTGAAAATCCTTGACTGCAGTTTGCCTCTAATCTATAATCAACAGCTAAGCTTCACCCCCTTTTATTAACCTAATAACAGATATTCTATCTTCTATCAAGGACAGTTTTCTGGAGGAATCACTTTGTCGTCTGACTCACAGCTGACCCTCCAGTGGGCTGTCTGAGGCTTTAAATGGCACTGGAGGACAGGCTGCCTTTCTCTCTTCCAGAGCTGGTGAAACTGAACTGCTGGCCTTTGGGCTAATAGTGCAACTTCTTACTACGAAGCCAACAGAATGCCGTATGTTAAGGAATTCGAAGAAGTACCTTAATTGTTTTAAACTCTAACCAGGATACCGGTAAATTGACTCTGAACTGCAGATTTTCTCATTTCCCCATCTCTTTTCCCTCGTCACATGATAAGTTAAAATTATTATGCCTTTGAGAAGATCTCAACCAGGAGTCAGCACTCCACAAATGCGGGCAGTAAAAGGCCCAAGCACAGAACATAACTGTGTGGCCACGGCTCTTCCTGAAAGGAGGTAAAGCACAAAGATTAGAATGGGGGAAAAAGGACATGTGCAAATGCTTCCCAGCCTCTAACTCTGAAGCCTCCAGGCGCCATGCCAGTGACTCCTGTATGACCGAGACAGCAGACATCCTCATCAGGTATGTTCCCCGGTGACCAAGAGCCTCAACTGTAAGGCCACATGCAGCGATGCTGAATCACTCACATGGGAAGCCGTCCTGGTCACCTGTGCACGTTCCCTGCCCACCCGCGAGGCACCTCTGGTGACAACCATCTTCCAAGAACAACTGCC